AGACTGTATGCAAAATACTATTTTGTAAAACTATGCCTTTAAATAGACATTTATGGGTTATATTTCTTTTATAATAATTGTGCACTGAATATTCAATTGTGATGGATTTTGAGATTTATGTATATTTATAAGTCTGTTCTATGTGAATTTTTATTCTTAAGATGTATGGTACATTACTAATAACAATATGGGTTTCTATTTATGTAAAGTATATGTAGCAATATTCCTAGATACTACCCAAATTATTGTTTTGTCCATTTGCCATTATAAAGACTTTTATCTTTAGAGGATTATGTTATAGCCAGAATATGTTAGCTATATTTGAACTTTAGTATATAAATTCTCAATATGGTTTGAAATTCTTCCAGTTGATGAAATTAAAGTTAGTTTATAATTCCTTAAAAAAAAAAAAAAAGAAGATGAGAATTTGGATTTAGAGTTGACATTGGAGTAGGCAGGGAGCTCTGGTTGTAAGGAGTTGCACTGCTAATCCAAGGGCATGTGGCTCCAGTCTAACAGCTGCTCTGTGGAAGAAAGATGGAAGATTTCCTCCTATGCAATTTACTGTTTCTGGAAACCTGCTGGAGAGTCAGTTATGAGTTCATTCCGACTCCACGGTACATGACAGCAACAATATTGGAATGAGTAAGACTTGGAAATGCTGTGGTGGGTGTAAATACACTTTGTACTGGGAATAACATGAATTTTAGGAGACATGATTGCTGTTGTGTACCTCTGAGTTAGAAGCAACCCACAGCTTACCTTCCAGTGGTTTTTCAGAGGCTGTAAATTGCATGAAAAGAGATTGTGCATATTTCTCCTACAGAGAAGCTGGTGGATTTGAATTGTTTGCCTTTGAAATGACAGCACAGATTCTTCCCATTAGGCCACCAGAGTTCCCTGAGGAGATCATAGAGCTAACTGTTATGGAATGAATCATGTTGTCTTAAAAAAAAATCCTAACTTCCTGTATCTAGAAATGCGTTCTTAATTGGAAATGTTGTTGTTGTTTGCCTTCAAGTCGAGCATGACTCATAGTGACTCTAAGAACAAAAGGCCTGAAGCCCCTCTATAACTATCGACATTGACCAAAGTTCATAGAGTTTCTGGAGGCATGCTGTTTAGGAAGTGGAATAGTCTTGGCAATATTTTCAGTGAGGTAAAATGAGGTCAGACTGGAAGAAAGTGGATCCTAATTCAGTATGATTGATATTCTTATGAAATAACTGAGAAGACTCAGGAAAGTTACAGACAGACAGCAGCTGCGTGAAGTTGGAAGCAGAGCTGGAGTATGAGGCTGCAGTACAAGCACACCTGAGACACTCCCGCATTTGGGAGTGACAAGAAAATACAAATCTTCCTCAAGAGACTTCTTAGAGAGTAAGCCCTGCGGATATCCTGAATCCCAACCTCCCAAAATGTGGAAGAACACATTTGGGTCTTTTTAAGCCAATCCACTTTGCGGTAGTTCATGATAGCAGCCACAGGAATTTGTGATTAAGTTCTGGGTATCCTTTAAAGAAGGTCTTAATCGCTTTTGGAACACTAAAGCTCTGAATGCTGTGAATTTCATGGACACACAACAATAGTGAGTTTCAAAGAATAATCTTGTCTCTTAGAATTCCAATGAACAGATTGCCTGTCTTTCTCTCAGTCTTTCTCGTCTTGGGAAGGGGAATGTCTTTGCCTGTTTTATTGATAGATAATAAAGACTACATACCACCTTTTTATATATAAAGGTACATTACAAAAAATGTCCCATAGGTAAGAATTTCCCATGCTACTGTGGTGCTGGTGAAGAGTATTGAATGTACCATGGACTGCCAAGAAAACAAACAGATCCATCCTAAAGAGGGTTAAACCAGGTTACTCCTTGGAGACAAGGATTCTGGGGCTTCGTCTGACATACTTTGGACATGTTGCCAGGAGGGACGGGTCCTTGGAGAGGGACATCATGCTTGGTAGGGTAGGTGGACAGTGCAGGAGGGGAAGATCCTCTATGAGGTGGATTGATTCAGTGACTGGGGTAATCGGGATGGGTGTGTCAGAGGCAATGCGATTGGCACAGGATAAAGCATGGTTCAGGGATGTTGTACATAGGGTCGCTATGAGTCGCAAATGACTCGATGGCACATAACAACAAAAACAACAACTGTCTCCTTATAGAAGAGTGTGGTTCTACTATTTGTGTGTCTCTTACACAATGACTCAGGTGACTTCAGGTAGAAAAATGGCTCTAATCTACCATAAACCTTCATTACACTGTAGTCTATGAATGCAATGTCTTGGGGGCAACACTTTTAATAAAATCTTGCAATTTAGATTTGTGCTGGGAGTATATGCTGAGAAACACCTGGCC